TCCAAATAACAGATTCTAAAGCAGTGGTTCTCAACCTTTCTAATGCCGTGACCCCATAATACAGTTCCCCATGTTGTGGTGACCTCCAAGTGGGTGTGGCCACCAATAAGAGGGAGTAGGACAGCTAGGGAAAAGGGAACAAAATGGTGGACAGCCTGGTTTGGCGACCCCCATGAAATGGTCGTTTGACCCCAAATGGGGTCCCGACCCACAGGTTGAGAACCACTGTTCTAAAGGAATAGCAGCAATGTCTTGTGTTTTGCTAAAAAAAATTCTTACCCATCAAGATCTTCAAGTTGAGCAGTCTTTTAAAAGCATTGGCCAGAAGGCACTCCTTCTCAGTTATACTTATTGTCTAACAGGAAAAATGAAGATGTAACTGTCTGTGTTCTTCAGTGTGTTTTAAATTTATGGGCACTTTCTACCTTTAAAGGACATTACTACAGATTTTTGCCCAAACAAAAAAAAACAAACATGCAAAGCCTCATGTAGCTTCATCTTAAGAGCCTGAAGCTAATATCCTTTCTTGGAACAATAAAAAAATAATTAAGTTGTTATATCCTCAAGCTTAATGTTCCACTTTCAGTAGGCAATAGATGAAATACATAAACAAAGATCTATAATGTCCTACAGTACACAGATATTTAGTACATTAATTAAAATTGGGAAGAGCCAACTTTGAATTAGGGATTGCGGTGAATTTCATGACTGTTATATACTCTGGATATCCATCTCGTTTCAAGGACCATTTAAAACAGAATCAATTCTGGGGAAGTTTTTGTTACACAGAACCATTATTTATATTAATTTATTATTTATTTAATATAATTCAAAGATTATTCTTTTAGATTAAATATAGCATAGAAGCAAATGTGGAGATATTTCTTTTATATGAGTTGTAAATTACCATACATGGCAGGCAGAGTTAAGAGTTGAAACTAGACCGCTCAACAATTCACTATGAAAGTTGCTAAAGTTGCCTACACTCAAACAAAAGGTTAGATCAGTGATGCCGAACCTTTTGGACTTGGTGTGTGAAATATTCAGAAAATGCCTAATTTGACGCTGCTGGAGTGTCACAACCACTATGCTGACATACATATCATAGGTTTGATATCACTGGGTAAGATACAGAAAGTTCTAACTCTGCCTTTGAAGAATAAAACACTCATGAAAGAATTTATCGGTTTTACAGCTTTCCCCATTCTTTAGAATGAATATTTACACACTTTAAATAACTCTGAACTCCTGAACACAAAAGGCCTAAACCCGCATTATACTATGCACTCAAAACAACAAATTGAAATATGTAAGGGAGTAAGTTCTGGAGAAACATTATATAAACATTATCCAGACAATGATGAGTTGGTTCATCTGCATGGGAAGTTTGTAAAATACCTATTTTATATTTGGCTTTTCCATGCAAACACCCTTTGGATATGATTTACAGTATTATTTCTGTCAGGATTTATGTATTTGTGAATTGATTTCAGTACACCTACAAGTGCCAAAGGAGGTCATGGCTTCATTATATTAACCACAAAGCCAAGTATATAGTAAGCAAAAATCCTCCAGGTGGAAAGAAAGAAAGAAAGAAAGAAAGAAAGAAAGAAAGAAAGAAAGAAAGAAAGAAAGAAAGAAAGAAAGAAAGAAGAAAGAAAGAAAGACCTCAAAAATGAATTAGCCCTCATAGCACAGAATTAAGTCATTCTCATAGTTTCATGCTGAAAGGAAGTAAAATGCATGGACCTGCATGTGTTCCGAGATTTGTGAAAATGAAAATTTTTTTCATCTCCCTCTTTCTAACACACACACACACAAACACACACGGGTTCTGCATTCCGATAAAGTAAAGAATTGTTAGTTCTAAAATCGGGAAGATTGTTTAAACAACCTTCAAGTTGAAAGAGAGGGTTTTTTAAAAAAAATTACACCTACTTGGACACACTTATTATAAAGCAAAAGGCATGTTGCTTCATTTTTTTATCGTCTACATTAACTTTAGATTAGTAGTTCTAATAGGTAGATAATAAAAGATGGAACATCATATAAGAAGAACTAAAAAGATGGAAATGGTAGGATAGACATTGCTATCTCTAAGGTGGGATTGATTGGCTGTTTTGCTGGATTTATTATCAAAAACCAAAATAAAATATAGATATCACTTAAAATAATAAATGGCCAAAGACATTGAGAGCTAGGTAGCATACATGTTTAATAAACAAACTGAGGAATAAACCCATTAGAAAGATTGGAGGCGGTAGTCTTAAAAATGTTGCCTTTCTAGATCTGATATAAGTTACCAAGCCATCTAAGCCTAAGAATAATTGAAATGCCACCTATTATGACAGAAAACTAAGTTAAGCAGAATTTAGCAATGTCCATAGAATTGTAGATAGAATGACTGGTTAGTTGAATTCGTACAACCTCCTTTACAGATCAACCCATTCATTTAAAATGGAGAGAGAATATGAACTCAGAGCATTGAATGTGGTACAAAGAAGAACACCACAAAACATGAAACTGGCTTAAGACTTGGAGAGTGGATGAAGGTCTTCGGGATATGGATCCCTTCTAGCACCTTTAAAAGTAAGCCCTTAAACCACACTAAACTAAACATCCTTCAGGGCAAGATGGTGAGGATGTTGATTAAAATAATTAAGCATGGCAAAAAAAAAATGTACAATAGGGCACAGGCAAACCTTAAAATTTAATATTTTATTGGGAGTCCAAGGAACCAAGGATAAAAAAGGAAACAAAAAGTTAGTTACAGAGTTGAAATCAAAATGGCTTCGAGGATGGCTAAATTCTATGCTTGGCTCAATCTTTGGCAACAACTTTCCTGAAGGGCTTTTTATTCTCAACTAGTAACCATTTTGGGCAAGAAATATAGCAGTGTATTGAGAGATCACATGTGGAAATAAATTGCTCACAGTTAATTGCATTACCACGATTGTGTACCATTGGCGTTCTTTGTATTACAAATTTATGAAGTTATTTGTCTGTCTTATAGCTTACAGCTATAGCTGGTAGTAAAGGAATACTGAATACTGAATCTATATAAGGTCAAAGTCATCTCTTATCTCAGGAAAAAATAGAATACATCCTCCAAAATGATTATTGTCTTTCGATGATTTACCTGCATTCTTCTGCTATGACTGTTTACTGTATTTGTGGTCTTTGATCAACTATTTGATTATTGCTGCATAGAAAAATATATGTAAAGCAACTCGGATTTTCCTTTTGTCTTACAAACATAAGGATGCAAATAAGAGGTGTTGAAGGAAAGAGTATTAAATATAAAAGAAATATCTCCTCATTTACAAAAGCCCTATTTTAATGTAATGATGAAGTATGCTAAACTAAGAATGTCTCCAGAAAGCCCTTTACCTTCTTGTGTGTCAGGTTTTGAAGCTGAGATGCAGTGTTTTAACCATTGGTTACTGAGCAATCACAGGGACTGTGTTCACACATAATGCTAAACTGTAATCTATGGTTTAAAAGTCATAATGGCTTCATTCACAAAAAAAGTTATTACAATTCAAGGAATCTTTGACAACTCACTATCTTGTACCTTGTAAATAAAATTATATACAAAATGGTTGTATATGTAAATATTTAAGAGCCAGTCAAGGATAACTGACATATAGCACTAAGAAATAATATTATACATGGATCCCATTCTTTAAATAGGATCCCTTTATAAAGGTTGTATTTTTTAAAAAAAATAATAGTTCACTTTTTTAAAATATTAGAAATAATATTATATCTTGAAGGTCAAACTTTAATTTAACTACATGGTTCATTTCCTTTTAGATTTATATAAAGCAGAGGAAGCTACTGCTAATTTTCAGGCTTAAAAAGATATACACAAAGTCCAAATTTCCATGGGAAAATTAGGTTTTATATAGTTCTATTTTGTTCTTGATTGTATATTGTCCTATATATTCATGCACTTTATGATTTTAACCTTTGCTTCATGAAAAACAACCAGTAAAGAAATGAACTCTGGACTTTAATCAGACAACTAATAGATTATAGCAAAGACTTAGCATTTTTGTATCTCTAAATGGTTGTCTTATTTGTTTTAATATATTATCACATTTGTGTTTTTTCAATATTTTTTCTTGCTGAATATGTTTATACACAACTAGTCAACTGTGATTCTTTTGATGGCGTTATTTCATGGAGACAGTTCTTTGGTTCCAATAGAAGAGTGCCGATTTCTTAAAGTTAAAATAAAATGTTTTCTTGAAAATGTGGTTTTATTTATTTTTTATTTTCAAGATCGGTAGACACATTTACCTCCATAGCTTTTTACTGAATGCAAAGTAACTTTCACTTTCATGAATCAAAACAGTATAACCAACAATTGTGAACCACATTTTGTATTGATATGGGTAACTCATGTTATACCTCTTCAGTATGTAGTGTCAATATCATTAATCTCATGCTGGAGATTTAACAATATGAAACAGAAATGTCACATTTTTTGAGCTTTATGTTTGTTTGCTGAATACGACATTCTCCAAATAAACATTTTGTTCATAAAATTAGGTGTTATATAGTATGTTGTCAACATATTTCAGTTCATTTAATGACCTGCTTTAATATAATGTGAAATTCTTTCAACAATACATGTAAAATATTTATTCTGTAAAGTTTGGTTGTTTGTGGATTAAACTCTCATTTTGAGAACGAGAAAATTTGAATTGGCCGAGTGTAGGTACATTTTCCATTGTATAAATGAAATGCTTTCTTTAAGCATTGCAATTATATCAGTATCATTTAAATATATAATTAAAAAGTACAATAAATAATGCCAGGATAGTCCAGAATAATACACAGATATGTTGAGAATATAGTATTGAATGCTATTTCCGTTCATGCTGAATATGTGTTGCTTTCTAAACTGTACTTTATCAAAATAATCAAACGAAATTGGTAGCTGCTTCACTATCTTCAAATGAACACTTTTTTTCTTTTTTCTTTTTTGGAAGGTTGACTGGCATGAATCTGCCTTCACCTGTTATCAGCAGTAAAAACTGGTTACGGCTCCATTTCACTTCTGACAGTAATCACAGGCGGAAAGGATTTAACGCTCAGTTCCAAGGTAAGAATTACATAAGACTCCATCAGGAGAAATCTGTTTTTCTAAACCTGATAAAATAAATGTTGAGACTGAAATATTCTCCTTCATACTTATTCACCTGGGAAATAAACAGATCCTTGCAAACATAGATTGGCAACCATTCTCACTCCAAAAGTGGAAGTCCAGTTGAGATTTGTTTAAGACCCCTGGGTTTTCTGCAGTATTTCTTTTAAAAATTAATCCCCACGACATAGCCATTATGTCCTTTTTTTTGGCTTTTTTTGTGTGATGCTTGCAAACCTCTTGCCAGATCATAGAGGTGCAAGGCAGAAGTGGTTAGGAAGAAAAGTCTCTTCAGATAAGCATTATTTCTTATTTTTCCCCAAATTCCTCATTATTCTTGACAGCAGTCTTGCTTCTATGTCCAACTCATTCCCTCTACATGAGAGAGAATTGGAAATCTGAACTCAGTCAATAGACAATGACTTGGTGCTTTTGATTTCTTTATTCCATTTGTCTCTGCTGAAACACGAAATAAACTTCTTAAAATGTAGCATATTTTGGAATGAACATTTATGAAGACTGGCATAAAATGACAAATTCCATAACATTTATGTGAAAAACAATAGCACAACATAGGTATTTTGGATCTGTTTTGCTTTTATATACTAAAATAAATGTGGAGGGCCCAATTGACTTCAGTGTGGTTAGAGAAAGGAATTAGATAATTTCCCCTGACTTACTATGTATTTCAAACCACCATTCTAAAGATTATTTTAAAAAATGTGGAAAAGCCTGTAGATGGCATCAAAATAACTGGTTTGGAGGGTTGAGGGTTGAGAACCAGGAAGCTGGAACAGATGTTTAAATATGAAGGTGAACTGAATAAAAGGATTTGGAACACCAATTTCTTTGGACAAAAAAAAGGACTTATGCATGCTACATATTTTATATAATGACTAGGTTTATGCATCTTACTAAAATCACGATTTAAGCATGATTTATTGAATAGACTGCAGTTGGATGGCTTCATACACAATAATGTCATAAACCATGGTTGACATATTATAAGATCTGAATAATGGACCAACCTAAAAGGAACTGGAGAAGAGCCTAATGCTGGGAAAGATTGAGGGCAATAGAAGAAGGGGACGACAGAGAATGAGATGGCTGGATGGAGTCACTGAAGCAGTAGGTGTGAATTTAAATGGACTCCAGAAGATGGTAGAGGACAGGAAGACCTGGAGGAATGTTGTCCATGGGGTCGCGATGGGTCGGACACGACTTCGCAATTAACAACAACAAAAAAGGAACAAACCACATAATGTGACGCAGAAACCAAACCGAACTGAATACAAGATAGTCCTTGTATTTCTGTTATCAGTTGTTGAGTCAGTTTTGCCCCATTTTACAAGTTTTCTTGCTATCGTTGTTCAGTGAATCTCTACAGTTTTTAAGTTAGTAACAAAGCAGTTAAGAGAATCTGGCTTCCCCCATTGACTTTGCTTGTCAGAAGGTGGCAAAAGGTGATCACTTGACTCCAAGACAGTACAGCCTTCATAAATATGAACAGTTGCCAAGCATCTGAATTTTGATCACGTGATCATGCGATTCCTGCAAGGGGTTTAAATGTTAAAAATGGTCATAGGTCACTTTTTTTCAGTACTGTCATAACTTCAAATGGTCACTAAATGAATGGTTGTAAGTTGAGGACTACCTATAATTCCATCAACTATTTGTTGTCTTGGGGAGTATGAGTTCAATGCTTTAACACTTAATTTCTGTGTCTACAATATATAAGCAGAATTGTTATGTTTTTTTCCCAAATGAGAAATATGTTCCTCAGAATCAAGTTTTGTGATTAATTTAATGGGAAAATGAGAAAGAAAGCAAATTCGTCCATGGGTGTTTTCAAATGTTTATAATTCTAACTTATAAAAAAAAAGTTAACTTTTTTTAAACAGAAGAATCCAGTTTTGTTTACACTTGGAAATCACTTCTGTACTTTATGCTCGAAATAGAAGGGGAAAAAAATGAAACTTTGACTTTAGGTTTTGAGGATTGGGTTAAATTTGTAGCTATAGAAATGGCTTGTAGTTACTAGAAATGCAAAGCAAAAAGTTGAGGTTGTAACTGTACTTAGTATTTTATTGCACTGAAGAGTTGGAAGTCACACTTTTTTTCCTTTTCTTTTTCTCTTGCACTCCTTTTTCCCTTTTTTTTCTGATCTTTAGTTTCATATGTATTCTATATTATAAATAATGGTACTAACAATTTTTTAAAAAAATAATAATTTCATCTTAAAGTTTATTTTTTAAAAAAATATCTAAATGAGTAAGTAGATTTTAGTGCTTAGTGACTTGTAATGGAAGTTTTTAATCAGTGGTGTCATCAAACTCAATAACCAAAACCCATGAGGAGCAGTTGTCAGCAAGTCACAAACTCTACTGGATGTGACATGTCATCTAATCCTCTTAGGAAAAGCTCTTTGCCAGCCCTAAAGTTAATTATTAACGGACAAGGAAGTCAAACAATTTTCCAAAGCACCAAAAGGCAAGACAAGAAACAATGGATGGACAATAATCAAGGAGAGAACCAACTAGAACTAAAGAGAAATTTCCTAAAGGTGAGAGCAATCAACCAATGGAATGCCTTGCCTTCAGAAGTTGTGGGTGCTCCATCTCTGGAGACTTTCAAGAAGAGACTGGACGTGGTTATAAGAATGGTATAGGGCAGGGGTAGGCAACCTTGGCTCTTTTATGACTTGTGGACTTCAACTCCCAGAATTCCTGAGTCAGCATAGCTGGTTCAGGAATTCTGGATATTGAAGTGTACAAGTCATAAAAGAGCCAAGGTTGCCTACCCCTGGTATAGGGTGTCCTGCTCGAGCAGGGACTAGGGCTAAAAGACTTTCAAGGTCCCTTCCAACGCTATTATTCTGTGTTCCAACATAACCCTCTACTTCAGTGCATTGTGTTGTCATAATCCTAGGACTTCACTGTATTGAAAAAAAAACAAACTCGATTTTGAATGAAACCCTACTCTGATTGCTTTCAAAATAAGTAAAGCCCTATTTTTTTGAATTTATTAATTTTTTTTAATCTTTCCTTTTTCTGAAATCAGCACCTTAAATACGGGGGGGGGGGAACTTTTTTTAAAACCACAGTCTGTTTTATTGAAAGTTAATAATGTTGCAAAACATTTAGAGCATTCTTTTTTTCCCCTTTGTTTGAAATTTAAATATCTCCACATGTTTTTCAGAGCTTAACTGGAAACTCACACATAACCGCTTCTAACCAGCAATGAAAAAAAAAAAAGAACATAAGTGAGCAAAGAGTTTTTTTCTGAAAAAAAGATAAAATTTAGTTTTTAAAAAACCTTTACGCTCCTGTGTGCACAAGGTTTAATTATAGGACTGCAGTTGGGCTAAGATCAGTGGTGAGATTCAGCCGGTTCGCACTACTTCAGCAGAACAGGTACTAATTTTTTGTTGTCCAGGCCTAGAATGGACTTCCTGAAGCGGTATCCACACAGAGAACTGGTTGTTCCCATATTTGAATCCCACCACTGGCTAAGATAATTCATATTTTGTAACAGTGAAGTGACCAATTGGTCAATTCGTGTTGCAACCAGTTGATCAACACTCAGTTGATTAAAAAAAAAAAAAAACCACCCTGACCTTACACATTCAGGAAAAAGCTAGGAAGAAAAAAATAATATTTAAAAATTCAATGGGAAAAGATTAACATCTTCCTATAGCTGATCGGACTAACAGTTTGACTTCTCTTCTTTTTGAAATGAACAGGCAATTTAGACTCATTATTAAAAAATGGATTAGTGTCCTCCTGAACATATGAAGCTTGTCATTTCAACACAAGTGTTTTCTCTGAGGCATAGTTTATCCAGCTTGCCAGAAATATTTATGTTGATCTAAAGGGCCTGGAGTCTGGAAAATCTACAGCAAAAGCATTTAACGAGCTGTTTCAATGAAATCATCAGCTTCTTCTTGGTCACATGCATAACCCATTAGACAATTATGAAGGATTTTTATCATACTGTCTCTCAGAATACTGTCATGTTACTATTTTGAGGCTTTGCCGTTTCTAAAATAATGCAAAATAAAATAAAATTAGGATTCTGGGTTGAAAATTAACCGGAAGTATTTTTCTTGAACTTCAGACTTAATGCAAAACCTACAATAATAAGGCAGTACCAGATAGTCCTCAGTTTACAACCATTTGTTTAGCAACGTTTGGAGTTACAACAGCCCTGAACAAAGTGACTTATGACCAGTCCTCGCACCTATAACCATTGCTGCATGCACAGTCATGCAATCAAAATTTAGCTGCTTGGCAACTGTTATGTACTTATTACAGTCACACTGCCCTGGGGTCATCATTTGTAACCTTCCCAGCTGGCATCTGACAAGCAAAGTCAAAGAGGGAAGCTAGATTCACTTAACAACTGCAGTGATTTGCTTAACAACTGCGGCAAAAAGTTTGGAAAAAGGGACACAATTCACTTAACAACTGTCTTGCGTAGTGTTGTGATTCCTCGCCAGCCAGTGGACCCGGCAGCTGAGTCTGAGGAATCAGAGGAGGAGGAGGGGCCTGGAGTGACATCAGAGTCAGAGGAAGTTTCTGAGAAGCTCCAAGACTTACAGTCTGACGAGGAGCCTGGCCCTTCTACCTGCGCTCAGGCTGAGACACAGCTATGCTGGGAGTCTGAGTTGGACAGTGATGAATCACAGCTGGAAGATATCCAGGATGCATGAAAATGCCAGCAAGAAAAGAGAGTAGGACAGAGGAATACAATGAGGCGGCTCCAAAGGCAAAGGAGCAGGCATTAGGAAAGCCACGCCTTGGCTGCATAATAAAAGCGAATGTGTGAGAGGTGCTGGTTGCTGAAGGCAACTGTTCGTGTTGAGGATCGAGTTTCTGTGAACTGTGTTTGTTTGCCTTGGACATTGACTCAGGTCTGTGAATAATAAAAAGAGATTGTTTTTTTTCTGCGGTTCCAGC